TGTAGCTTTGCGCGAAATTCATAACAAACAAACAAAGCAAAGCTACACACTGTTCACCGCGAGGAATTAAACCCCGAATTTTTGCGTTGTATTGATAAAATATTGGAATTATTTTACATAAAATAGCAAAATATACATTTATCTCCTCTCACGAAGAACCTCGTATTTTAATCAATGTATCGTAATTTTCTAGAAAGTAATAATACAACAGATCACAGACAGCACATTGCTGCTTCGCGCACCATCTGTTGGATGTCATAACACTAAAATGTTAATTTCTCATGACGCCCTCAGTTTTTACAAGACCAGCGCTATTTTCATATGGCGCGTAGTTGTTTTTTTCTAGTAAAGCTCAAAGCTAAATGATGTGTTATTTGTGTTGAGACCACCACGGGTATCGAAAAATCCGTTATTTAGTGTTATAAGCCTTACCGCTGTACTACTGGGGGAGTTTATAAGAGAAACAAACAAACAAAAACAGCGAAATATACTCGTTTCTTTGAAGAGGATTATTGATATTATATTCTACCTCGAAGTTGTTTTCAGACATCCAGTCGGCTGAATAGCATGTTTTCCAAAATATAGTAATAATAACAAATAATAAATAAATTGTTAAACTGACATAAAGGTTATTTCCATAGTTTTCAATAGTACACAGTTTTCGCTTGACGAAACAAAAACAAAAAAGGAGTAATGTTTGATGTTTCACTTACTGGTATTTCCAATTTAAATCACTTGTAACGGTTGTAACTAAACAAATTAATTTACAATTATTTAATTCGAGGAATGTATGTGAACTGTACTGTGGCTCTCAGTGTTAATTACATTCCTTACCATTAGCGGAGGTGAAATTCATTCGTTAAAGAGATGCAAAAGCTTTTTTGTTTTTCTCCCCAAAACTTATGCTGTCCATTTGATGAAACAGCATTTTTTTATTGCAATGTATTTTGATAGAACTATAAGACAGACCATAAAAATGACTGTTTTCTTTAAGATTTTATGTTCAGGTAAAATTATATAACACATATGCACAAATTAACCAGAAAGTGTAATTCTCTAAGGTCAAGATTGAAGTGGTTGGTTTATTTTGGGTCATGATTCTTTGAAACGACAAATTTTGATTAGGACTGCATTTTTGTTTGAAAGATTAGAAACTATAATTAACTTTTTTGACCAAAGGTTCTCTTCCTTCCAGAAGATGAGTGGAAAGTTCGGTACTACACACAAGTAGAGGTGAACAGTCAGCTAGAACGACAACGAGACTGGCTACGAGAACGTGTTGAAACTGCACGCAACCACACAGCGGAAGGTAAGAGAAGCAACTAGCTCACAGCGCCATCTTTTACATCTAGACTCATAGAGCGCTTATCGCTTCCTATGTACTCGATAAAACGTCAACGAAAAAAAAAAAAATCTGTAAATATGAATATTTATATATACGTAAGTCTTAAGTCTTTTATAGGGAAATAAATGGTGGGGTACGTGAATGTACCGAAACTAGTACTGAGTCTTTGTGTCGATGTTAGTTTGATCTTAACTAACATACACAGTAATGTGTACTAACCTGTGCTGTGTTTCTTTACTAATTGTGCAAATCACTTGATGTGACATCACAAAAGGGTGACAACCAAGACGTTTACTAATAAAAACGGTAAAATAGAAGAAAAACAAGACATAGATAACATTTCGAAGGGATGATATTTTTTTAGTAAATAGAATTTTATAGTTTAGGATGAGCAGAAAAATTCTTAAAAATTGACAAGTGCGTTGTTTACAATCGAGACTCAGCATTGCACAGGTTTGATGAATCGATCAGTAGAATGGCCATCATGAAAGCGTGATGTGACATGTTGCACATTTCCAAAGCCGTCGGAAACGCATAAATTTGATGAAGTGATTGACGGATGAGTTAACATGTAAGTGCAAGTTGTCGTGCTGTAACACTTCCAAAGTAAGTATATTACGTACTTTTTATTTGCTTCCCCTTTCAGCCGTGGGAGTGTTATAATGTGACGGTCAATTCCACTATTCGTTGGTAAAAGAGTAGCCCAAAAGTTAGCGGTGGGTGGTGATGACTAGCTGCCTTCCCTCTAGTCTTTCACTGCTAAATTAGAAACGGTTAGCGCAGATATCTTTCGTGTAGCTTTGCGCGAAATTCATAACAAACAATAAAATTAGTTTAGTATAATCTCGCTAGGCTTACGTTAGTGTTATGTAAATGCACGCGGTTAGTCTTTACACAGAATAAAAACATTTCTTGTTTTACTTATGATGCCCCCCTCTCCCCCGTTCTCAATTCGGTGGCTCAGCGGTAACTTAAGGGTTTATGTTACTAGAGCTCGAGGTTCGATACTTCTACTGGGCAAATAGTAAACAAACATTGGACACTCTAAAACAAAACGTGACCCCTTATAACGTGCTTGTGTACTAATAAACTTGGACTACTATAATTGAATTCAAAACTGTCGAATGTAGGCAACACGAACTGTTATTGTCGATTATGCTGTTTTGTTTTTATTTAAAGAAGAAAGAGTGAAGTTTCTCAGAATGTGACTGGAACAGAAAAATGAAGTTATCATTACATAATATCGTGTTTTTCATTATAAAAGTTGAGGGACACTTACTTAGTACTTTAATAATTTTGTGATAAACTATTGTGTAGCAAATATTTAAAATAAATAACTAGATGGCTAAGAGGTTGACTTATGTTAATAACACTAAAATAACGACCTTTTAAGTCCAATGCTGTCTTTGTCGATTGAGTTCAGTTTGGTGGAGTGATTACAACACCGCAATTTCCATTGTAACAAGAGTTTGTAAAGGACGACGAGGTCAATTTTAGATCACACATTTTGGCAATTTTTCCACAGATCCTCCAGTGTATATGGCTATTAACGTCAAGATCACACTTAAGCAGCTCCAAAACTCAAACGTCTATTGAAGCTACATAAGAAACTTGTGTCATTTTTCTCATGGAAACAGTAATTGATTTCGAGGTATGGCTAGAAGCTTTTGAAATGGTAGTCTATACAATCTTGCCAGCTTCATAGTCTTGTTTATTATCTTGTTGACGGCTACTGGAGACATGCCAATTTTAATCACAATGGCTTTCAGAGTCGAGATTCTTTTTCATCACCACAACCTTCACAAAGCATTGTTTCAGATTGTTTTGGATGTGGTTCCGTAGTCCGTTGCTGCTTTGTGAGATTTTTTTTCCCCCACTGAGAATATTGGAAGCTCCTTCCTCCGAAATGTTTCCGTTGGTCTACATCATTCATAAGTCTCACAATATGAAAATCCTTCCTTCGAACTGGCTGTGACATATTCCTCCAGTTCTAATTCCTACAATGCGGCATTGCACTACACATTGAATGGTTGGGAATTCGCTGTACACTAAATATTTAAATGGTAAATATGTTACCCGTGATACTATGTCTTGCTTCTGTAGCAACATGCCATTATATTAGCATCAACAAATGTTTTTTTTGCTATATTCTCTCAGTAATAAATAGAATACATCTCTGGCAGACAGTGCAAAATGTGTTCCAATTTAGATTTAACTGGATTAATGAACTTGTAGAATATTTATAGCTCCTGACAAAGATGTTACATCAAAATATTGAGCTAATAAACTTACATTCTAGAGATATAGGTCGTGATTTTTTTAAGCATGTTTTTTCAGTAATACATTAATTCCTTCTTTTTTAAGGCGTCACGGCTATGCTGGCGGATCTGGATTTGGATAGTTTGTCTGAGGTAAAAATAAACTTTAATAAAACGTTTAGAATTTTCAATTTATTTTATTTAGAGAAATACCTAATGTTAACTAACACGGTTTTTAAATATGGTATTTATCCAGATGACTTAAACTAAAATTTTCAAATAAAGTAATAATTTTCCGTCATTACAAGTTGGCTTCAATAGAATATCATCAGTTTGAACATTATCTTCAGCAACGTATTATTTGCGCTTGGACCGTAAACATAATGAATAATACACTAGATATTTTATATGGCAACGTTTTTCAATCTTTTATTTCATTTATTGCGATATTCAATTACAAAAAGTTTAGTAATAGTCAAAGACTGGGATTACTTGGTAAACATAGTCTTTGTTGCTTCCAGAATCAGCTACTGCGATACCTAAAGCAGTTGGAAAAAGATCGAAACATTTTGTATAACGAACTTCGTGACACTGAATGGAAGCTTGACCAAGAATCAAAAGTATGTAAAACTTGATGTTTTCTCCAGGAATCAGAGATTTTATGTCAGACTTGTAATTATATACTTGGTGTACCTTGTTGCTCAGAATCGTTATGCCGTACATGTTATTTTATACTTACTGTACCTTGTTGCTCAGAGTTGTAATATCGTACATGTTATTTTATACTTACTGTACCTTGTTGCTCAGAGTTGTAATATCGTACATGTTATTTTATACTTACTGTACCTTGTTGCTCAGAGTTGTAATATCGTACATGTTATTTTATACCTATTGTACCTTGCTTAGAGTAGTCATGTCATACATCTTATTTTATACTTACTGTACCTTGCCCACAGTTGTCATGTCGTACATGATATTTTATACATACTATACCTTGCTCAGAATTGCAATATCGTACATGTTATTTTATATATAATGTACCTTGTTGCCCAGAGTTTAAATGTCGTACATGTTATTTTATGCCTAATGTACCTTGTTGCTCGGAATTGTCATATCGTACATGTTACTTTGTACGTACTTTACCTTGCCCAGAGTAGTCATGTCATACATGTTATTTTATACCTAGTGTACTTTGCTCAGAGTTGTCATGCCATACATGTTACTTTATACCTATTGTACCTTGCTTAGAGTAGTCATGTCATACATCTTATTCTATACTTACTGTACCTTGCTCAGAGTTGTCATATCGTACGTATTATTTTATACCTAGTGACTCTTTCTGTGTGTTGCCAACAAAGTTGTTATAGCCTATGTATAAATAGGCTAAGTATAAATAGGCTAAGGACGAAAGGCAGGAGGGTGACCATTGGAGATAGAAAATTATTTACGAATATATTTGATTTTAATTGTACAAACCATATCAGTCATAAACCTTAAGGGTAAGACGTGGTGTAAAAACATTCTCTTTATTTCCCTTGTTTACGCTTTACGTTACTCTTGTCAGAACTGAATTCCGTATGTTCGGTAGTAAGAATCATAGTGTCAAGATGTTTAATGTATGTGATAACTACGAAGTGTTTTTAATGAGATTGCTATGTTTAGTTTCAAGTTCTGACTTTATGAAGACGCGTCTCAGACGAGCGACAGTACTCCATTCGTCCTCTTATGTAGACTTTAAAATTTAAATGAACGAAAAACTGTATTAAATATCATTGCTCCCTGAGGTGTTAGTTATACTATCGCAGCGTTTGGTATAGGTGTCAGTGATACACAAAGCTATATTCTTAAACTGAATCAGCTCACTTTATGCCTCCCAGTGGCACAGCGGTATGTCTGCGGGCTTACAACGCTAGAAACCGGGTTTCGATACCCGTGGTAGGCAGAGCACAAACAGCCCAATCTTTAGCTGTGTGCTTAATTACAAACAACAACAACAGCTCAATTGATAGTTCTAATAATCAAATACCAGCTCAGTCAACCAACTACCTAAGCCTGGTGGTTAGGGTGCTCGACTCGCCATCTACTGCTTACAGGAACGAACCCATTATCTGACGGTCAATCCCATTATTCGTTGATGATGATTAGTATTGAGTAGTTGCCTTCCCTCTACTCTATCACTTCAAAATTAGGGTTGGCTTTCGCAGATAGTCCTCTAGTAATTTTGCGTGAACTTTAACAAACCAACGATCTATTTAAGTTAAATGTAACTCAAAATTACAGTTCTCAAATGGTACTCATGTAGATCTTGTTGTCTAAAATGATTTTAATTGATTTCATAAGTTACAATATCATTACTTCTTTCGTTATGTGTGTGTATTTTAAGAATATATTAATGTCATCGTTTTCAGGAATTTCATAAATACAACGACACTCGCAAGGCTTACATGACTGAGATTACCGACGCCATGTTGAATCTAGAGGCCATGAGGAACCGCCTGAAGCTTCTAGAAACCAGCGAGAGTGGTTCCATAGCAAAATGTCCTCGTCGTCTCAGATATATGTAAAATTCTTATGCATTATTCAAACATTTTACCATATTTTAAAGTTTTTGTGTCCACATTGTACAAATTAAGTCCTCCCAGAAACAAAAACTAAATTCTTAACACACAATTAAAGAAAGAAAACAAATCCAATGACAAT